AATTTACATATCATGACATCAAAATATGGACAGTTTTCACGCTTAAAATTATGCCACTGACTGCATTCCTCGCATCTTGAATAAAACTCTTTGTAGTAATCCCTTCAAAGTACCTGTTACATTCAGCTCTATAAGTATATTTTGATTTAGGAAACTACAAATGTTTCTCATACATCTTCTTGTTGTTGATATTTTCTTACTGTAAAGCTATACAATGGGCTATCTCTACAGTTTTCCAAATTGAAATGTATCCAAGATTTAGCATTATAAGTTCGTTAACTCACTGCTGACCCCTCGGGGTCATAGATATTCTTATCAAAATATTTTGAAAAATGAAACTTTACCCAAAAGTCCTCCATAACGTCCACTCCTATCAACATACAAATCTGTATAAAATCCGTTTTTCCATTTCATTCACCTTTAAAAATATCCAAATATACTACTTTCGAAGTAAATCAAAACATAAAAGTCTGATAGAAAACAAAACAGCTGAAAAAAATGTAGTAATAAAAGTTCCTTCAGCAATAATATCTGTTATTTTTTTAAACAGCTTTAGAATCATTTATCACACTTGCCTTATATATGAGACATTTATTTGCATTTCAAGCTCAACAACTACATAATCCAATAATAGATTTTCTTTTCAAAATTTATACTTTAAAAAGCTATAGTTTTAGTTCTTGTCTTGTAGTATTTTTTCATTTTATAGATATTTCTTAAATCACTTTCTCAGATCTAATGTGTATTAACTGTAATGATTATAAATCAATGAAATGACTTGTATGGAAGTGAATATAGAAAGTTTACTATACTTACAACTTTACATTTATTGGTATTTTTAAGTTGATTCTCTCTTTTGTTTTTTGTTTCCTAGTGCATATGTGTGTCTGTGTATGTATGTGTGTAGATGAGAATATAAACTGGAGAACAGCATATAAATTACAAGTTAGAACACAGAAAGATAGCAAGAATTACGCTTACAAATATGCATGTTTATGATTGATAAGAAAATTAAGGGTAATGCATCTTGCATGTTAACAAAGGCTAATGTTTTTCATTAGCAGCTTTATTTATACAGTTTGCTATGCCCCACATTAAATGCTTACTTCTTCAATCTGAGTTTAAAAACAGTCTACATATCATTCAATAAATTATTTGAGATAAGAGTACTCTGTAGTTGTATCTACAATACATTTAAAAGTCACGCCTTTTTTTTAAAGTATACATATTTTAATACAATAAGAATAATAATGCGTGTATCCAAACTTCATTCAATAAGCAGTAGCTCTCTCATTTCAATTAATATAAAAATAGTTTTATCTTTTACTTTCATTGTGATAAAATCATTGTTCAATGTTAAAATTTAGTGCATATGAAGTTATTATAATCTATAAAAATGCACTTTATATCATATATATATATAGATATGTCAGTTCTTTTGTTGTCAATCTCATGGTCTCAATTAATTATGCTCTAGAATAATAAAAAATAATAATAAGCTTGCCTACTTTCTTTAACAAGTTCTGTCCACTTGTTATTAATTCAACCATTTCACTAGAGAAAATTTAATCATAGTAAGAAATTTCCAGAATGATTATTTTTATATTAACAAATACCGGTTTTAAAATAGCAAGCATCATTTTATTTGTTACACATTGCTACTCGCTGTTCATTAGTTATCTTGTTACCATTTGTATTATGTGGGGTTTCTAAAAATAAATCTTCTAATCATGACAAACTTACAAGTAACTATTTTCATATAAACTTTACTGGGTTTAGTTTCAATTCCTATGAAATGCTGCTAGATCAATCTATTCAAGTAACTTCCAAGACTAAACAAAAGCCAACAATAAGCTTAATTTTTTTTTTTTTCAAAACGACACTCAAAACTCGAGCGCTTTCAAATATTTGACTATTCTTCTTCGGGAGAATAAAAGGTTATGTTTGCTTGTTTTGAATTTCGCACTAGCCGTCCCTGATTAA